GAAAGATCTGCTCCGCGTTTTGATTCCAATTAAAATATTTATAATAACCAAAAAGACAATACAAATAAAAAAAAGTATCTCTGGTTCGTTATTAACACTTCTTCTTTAGGAGTCCCAAACCAAACCAAACAACAACATTCACGTTTTGTTACCTTGGACTCTGTCAAAAAATAAATTGTTTTTCCAAGAAAAAGAAAAAAAAATCAATTCGCGTCTGTCCTACCAAAAAAAAAACCATAAAATAATTGTGCTACGCGTCGATTAATTCACGAACTTTTTTTTCGTTCTTACAATGCCTCCAAAAAAAGAATCGAACAAAAGAACCAAAGGATTCACCCCCAATGTTGCTGGGTAAGCGTTTTAAAGATGGTGGTGGTGGTTATCGCCCGCCACTCGCCGTCACTCTAGTTTATTCATATATTTGGTGATTGACTTTTACTTTCTTGTTTATATTTTGATGCTGTAATTTACTCCTTAGAGAACTACCTTCAGTAAGCAAATTATATTATTTTAAATGAATAAGATTTATTGTTTTAATCTACTTGATCTTCAATAATACTAATTATTTATTTTTAATTCTTTCATTATTATTCAGAATCAAATCAACATAAATTTTAGTAATGATGAGCATATGTTTGGACTTGATTACAATGAAGTATATATATAAATATATTTTAATTGCTTGCTTATAAAAATCTTATATATATACAATTTTTTTAAAAAACAGAATTTGACTAATATTCGTGATGATATCATGCATATTCATGATAATTCTAATTTGTGGTAACATTTTTTTCACAAATTTATTTTTATTGTCATGCCACAAAAGATTTTCATTTTACAAAACTATTGATGCATTTTTAATTAATAATCATTATAGTGATGTCATTAGGATGGGAATAGTAAACTTGGAAGACAAAAATAAAAAAAATACAGAAGCATATAAAACAATTTCAACACTTTACAAAAAACAAACTAATCAATTTTTTGATGTTCCAATCAAATATAATAAAGTAAATGCTATGCTAGATCAAATCAAAAATATATTAAAAATTGACCAGGCAGAGAAATTCATAGATGATTATAATAATATGGTCAATGTGTCATTGGATTTGGAAAAAATGCTAGAGAATTTCACTTTTTCTGTTGCTAATTTATTGTAATTAGTTTATATATTTTTTTTTTTTTAATGCTTATTTAAATGGGAAATTTATTTATTAATATAAATATTTTCTTATTTAGTGCTGGTTACTTTGTTTTAGATGAATCTTACTTCAAAGATTCTTTTTCTGAGAATCATATTGGTTCAACTGTTTATTCACCTATATTTATGAATTTGTTCCGAAGCAAAGAATATTCTATAAAACTTAATCTGTAATTATGATTTTCATAGATTAGATTTCATTTCTAAATTTTGTTATTATTTATTTATTAATTTATAAAAACTCTTTATTGATAGATCACATGCTGCCAATAAAGAACGTAGAAATTTCAACAATCAAAAAGATGATATAAGACATGCATTGATACCTGATATAAAAATTATATATAAAAAGAAGGATATGGAAATTGTTATAGTTGAACACCAAAAAAGGACATGTATAGAAGACATTCGAAAAAATGAAAAAGATACAACCAAAATATCTATATTAATGCATGATCAATTAACCAAAATATTTAATGACTTAAATGATTTAAGTAAAGGTGATAAAATCAAAGATATTGATGTATATGGTGTCATCACATCGAGTAAGTATTATAAGAATATTTTAAATGTTTTTTATATCCAATTCTAGAGAAACTATCAATTTATTAAAAAAATTTTCATAGAATTAAGTGTGGATATATATTGCATGACACTATGTGCACCAAAATTATATATTTTCTACAGAATATCGAGCTTCCATCTGCCAGAAAATATTGATAATTTTGAATATTTAGCTTCTATGGTTCATTTATTAATAAATTTTCGTGTAAGTTATCTTTTGATATAACCTTACTTTTTTTTTCATAATACTAATTAATAATTTTAAAATTTTTATAGAGAATTGTCGATGATAATTATTTGAGGTATATAGGAATTTTAAGAAGTGAACCTACCACACCAACCCATCAGATCAGATGGGTAATTGATGTTGAGTATTCACCAATAATTTTAAAAAATATGGAAAAGGAAAAAAAAGGAAAAAAAAGGAAAAAAGAAGAAGAAAAAGGTAAATCAACATGAACATGGTGTAGATAAAATAAATGATTAATAGTATTATTTATATAGTAATATACATTAATTCTATATATTTTTTTTAAAATTACTTTCAAATCAATATCCAAAACTGTAGGAAAAGAAAATTGTTAAATAATTTTATCAAATCTAATTTTCAGAAAAAAAAACTTTCAAGAAGTAAAAACCCAGAAAAAAATATATATAAATTTTTAATATATTAATATATTGAGAATATTATTTTCATGCTTGCTAAAATATAATAAACAGAAATGTTGACAAAATTATTAATTTACATACAGACAATGAAGAACTTGATTAGACTATTAATAACACAAATAAAAGATTGAATGCTCGTCGTGTCACTATTGCTTGAAATCGTTTCCATATTTCAATCAGATCTGCAGTTTTTCTTATTCTGGCATATTAGAGTCGTACGTCAAAGGTTTAATTGACGATCTGCGAATAAATGAAGAATTGTCAATCAATTTAAATTTTGAAAAAAAAAATCTACAGGTGCAAAAAATTTTTAGAACAAAATATTTAAATTTTGGTGCAAGTTTTAAATCTTTATACATGTTTTGAACTTCAAAACAATTTTAACTTTGATATAAGTCTTGAATTTTTATACAAATTTTGACACTTTGACACAAGTTTAATTTTGACACAAGTTTATACTTTGGTGCAATTTTTTCACCTTGTTCCTTTTTTAGAATACTTCTAATGGTACTATAATTCTTGGGTTCCATTGTAGATTTGATGTAAATTAACTTCATATTAACTATTTTTATATAGAGGTAATTCTATATATCACTTAATATTAAGAGGATAACAAATGGGAGATTTTAATAATCACATTACTAAATTTTGATCCCTGAAATTCTTGGTTATACCAATGTTCACTTTGTCTGGTTTTGTTGCAGCATGCCCCAGATGATGTTTTATTTTGTGTTGTAAAAGTTGAATTTATAATACAATACTTACAAACTGGTTATTATAAAGAAATAAAAAATAAAATTATTTAATTAGATGATGTTTATATTGTGTTGTAAAAGTTGAATTTATATTACAATACTTACAATCTGGTTATTATAAAGAAATAAAAAATAAAATTATTTAATTAGATGATATTTTGTTTTGTATTGTAAAAGTTGAATTTATAATACTATGCTTACAATCTGGTTATTATGTAGAAATAAAAAATAAAATGGTTTAATTAGATGATGTTTTATTTTGTGTTATAAAAGTTGAATTTATAATACAATACTTACCCCCTGGTTATTATAAAGAAATAAAAAATAAAATTATTTAATTAGATGATGTTTTATTTTGTGTTGTAAAAGTTGAATTTATAATACAATACTTACGAGCTGGTTATTATAAAGAAATAAAAAATAAAATTATTTAATTAGATGATGTTTTATTTTGTGTTATAAAAGTTGATATATAATACAATACTTACCCCCTGGTTATTTATTATAAAGCAATAAAAAATAAAATTATTTAATTAGATGATGTTTTATTTTGTGCTATAAAAGTTGATTTATAATACAATACTTACCAGCTGGTTATTATAAAGAAATAAAAAACAAAATTATTTAATTAGATAATGTTTTATTTTGTGTTGTAAAAGTTGATTTATAATACAATACCCCCTGGTTATTATAAAGAAATAAAAAATAAAATTATTTAATTAGATGATGTTTTATTTTGTTGTAAAAGTTGAATTTATAATAACAATACTTAACCCCCTGGTTATTTATTATGAAGAAAAAAAAATTTATTTAATTAGATGATGTTTTATTTTATATTGTGAAAGTTGATTTATAATACAATACTTACAATCTGGTTATTATAAAGAAATAAAAAATAAAATTATTTAATTAGATGATGTTTTATTTTGTGTTGTAAAAGTTGATT